GGATTTTTTAAGAGCTTATTCCTTCTTTTTATATGATCTAAGCTATTTAATCAATAATAAAATAAGTGTTAGGAGACAAATAATGATTATAGAAAATATCTAAATTATTATTCTATTAAGCCACAAAGGATATTTATCACTTATTTTAAATAAACAGTCTAAAGAATTGATTGTTATTTTAATAGGATTTCCCAATAAATTAACAGGATTTGATATGAAATGTGCGTTTAATATGTTAAAGTTAGCTATACATGACAAAATCTACAAATAATTTATGAAGATTTTGTACAATAAAGAAGACTCATTTGCAGATGAACTCAAGTTACTTGTTACCAGCAATTAAATTTATTTAAAAATTTTTAGCTTCATAATTCTTATTTTAGATGCAATAATATTGTGTTAACTGAATGCTATATAAAATACATAGAAAATGATAAAAAAGCATGCGAATGCTATTTAATTTAATTGTTAGCTGCAAGGAAAGCAATTTTAACCTTTAAGACCATATTATTGACCCCAAACCTTATTTTTATTATCGCAGCTATTGCAAAGAGGTCCTACAAATCCAGTTAGGCATCCATTTTTACTTTGAGGATTATTAAAAGAACAGCTATCTAATAAACAAGTGTAAATCTAATCTGTTAAATTACTCTCTCTCCAGTAGCCATCCTTTAACTAAATTTCAGATCCTTAACAGAAATGAGCTTATTCTGGACATGATACGCATTCGAGTTTATTGATATTATTCTGCATATCAGGAATTTTTAATGAATATCTCCCTTCAACACATTAACTACACCTAAAAAATTTTTTAAATTTGTTAATAAAATCATTTAAATTAATTAAATAATTACTAAATGAATTAATTTTTTTCTAAAATAATCTCTCCTATTGTGCAGTTCCTATAATACAAGTGTAATGGAATAGTTAAAAATACACCTTATTAAAACTAGTTAGAAATAATGCTTATTGTTTGATTTTAAGATATTTTGTAAAATGATTAAAAGTTTAATTCAAACATTCCAATTGTTTTGTTAAGCAAAGCACTCATTCCCTCTTAAATAACTATTTAACTATTATTTTAAATGTAAAGCTAA